ATCAAACTCTTGGTCAACATTTGCACAACGCTCTTTCATCAGCACAAGAATCTCAGCACAGACTGATGTAGAACTATCTATTTTCCTTCTTATGTCTTGAGAGGGAGATTCAATAGCACGAATGGCATCATAAAGCTGTTTTAAATCTGAATCAATTTTTTCAATAGATTGAATCATGTGATCTATCTCTTCTCCTGTGCATTTTACTTTAAGTTTTGATCGTATGAGCTGAATCTCTGCCTTAAACTGCACATAAGTTGACATAAACTTTCTCTCCTTGTTTATCAACTCATTTCTTTTTAGGTCACGCATTTTTACAGTCAAACGTCTTTCTCTCTCCGACCGTCTAACGTCTGTTTCAACAATAGCTAGTGGTTCAAGAGTAGTTGTTTTTTGTATTTCAAGATCTGCACCTCTCTCTCTCTGATTCTTCAAGTTCAGTCTGTAAAACGGTCTCTGATTGCTCTTCCTCAGCTTGTAAAGCTTGAATAGTGTCCTCAATATCACATTTCCTAGTAGCCATTTTTCAGAGTAATATTAGCAATATTCACTGTTACTTATATGTATATATTTAGCAATGACAGGTAACTAATCTTCGTAACCCACTATTTCAATAACTAAAAAATAATACACTGTTACAGAGGATTCTTATAATACATTATAGATTATGATATTGCATAAAACAAATAACACAAACTATGTTCTCTTCTTATTCTCTTTTTTTTTTTTTTTTTTTTTAAACTCCGATGATACAGTCTGACCTGATTTCCAATGTGTTTTACACTTTACGCTGTGATGAGGCGATTCTTGAGCAGTCCATTTCCAACTGTGGTGAAGTTAACGTCCTCCGAAGACCCAGCTGATGCAGAAACGTAGACGCGGAGGCTGGCTGATGACAGCGGTCCTTCGATCCATGGCTGGCTGATGACACACTGCACCCTTGTGGCCTCTCAGCGTCAGCTACAAACGACGTCACCTTCTCTGGCGATGAGCGCACGTGACTCCGACAGCGCACGTGTATCTTTGTCTATCTTCTTTACAGCAGCGATAAGCAACGTTTTTCACTATAACGGCTCCAGAAATTATTGCTTGGATAAAAGGCCGACGCTCTGACTGATGTTTAGTTGACATTTATTTACAACAAAGCCACCTAAAGCACCGTGAAAAACTACGGTGCATAAAAAACATATTGTTAGCAAAATACACACATATTCAACAAACTTACAATAAAACAATATACAATTACCGTGTGCGCCTTCTATCTAGACACTCTGGAGTTGTCAGTACTTTTCGCTGTCCATATCCTTACTTTCGGTTCAGCACAAGGTTACCTTGTCCATCCTTTTCGCCATTCTCTCGCTCTGTCTCTCACGTAATGGCTCCAATGCGCGCATGCGCATATTGCACAGGTAATACAAGTTCACAACTCCACCACAAGAGGTCAGAAGCGACACACAATAAATACACTATTATAAACAGATTATATACAGAATAAAGATACATGTAAACAAAAATGTTCACGGACAGCTACACAAAGTAAAACAAACGGGTGTCTCCTCCGTAAACGAGTTTTGCTGCAGCCGACTCCGGGGTAAATCCAATTTCTAAATTAAACCTTACCCTTCACCTCCTTTTCTTAAGATTCATATCATCATTGGAAGCAAAACATTACTCTAAGTGCATTTTAAATTATCTTAAAATGTATTATAGGTATGTTAGCCAAACCGGTAGCTGCCCTTAGCAAAAGAAGAACAAGAAAAGAGCTTTCTGATGGAATTGGATGCATCCAAAGTTTGGGCTCACAAGCGCCCCCTTGAGGCTTTCGTCACTTACAAGCTGTGGTTGAGCGCGATTAAGACCCATATTTGCTTCAAAAACACAATTTATGAGCCATCCTCTTAAATGTAAACATGTTGATTGTAAATTAAATATTTTTGAACTTTTCAAACTGTGATAAACAGAGAAAACAGTTTGATAGCACCTGTTAGGGATTTAGCAGACAGAGACGGATCGTGGTGCGCCAAACTCTGGAAGTTTATTTAAGTTTCTCTCAAGTTCCACTGGTTTACTTTGTTTCTTTCTCTCAGACAGAATAAAGGCAGTACACAGTTTATATAGTCATTGTCACGTCACACATGGAAAGACATACGTGTCACAAAGAGACAGTCACATCATAGTCATAACATGGAGTCCTTGTAGAGTCCTTGTACAGTCCTGCACGTAGGCCATATTGCTACTAACACACCTCATAGGACTCTCCCTGTGAGCTGTTGCTTTTAAGTCTCCCAAGAGAGGCTTGCCTCACAGCGCCGCTCTGTCAAATCTGCGATTTCAAGGTATAAATAAATGAAATAAGGCACAGCACAAATCACTTGATAAAGTGACCAAACATTATTGTATCCATTTTATTACTTTTTTTTCTATGATCTTAGGTGAGGGCCTTACCTGCCTCATCTGACCGCACGTCACTGGGCTACACAACACAATGAAGCCGCCGGAGAGACTGACGCATGAATGCGTATTGAAAAAAACAATGTTCAGTTTGATAAGTGACTTGCTTGATATATATTGTTTATTTTTTGTTTTCTTAACAATTAAGATGGTATGTTATTATCCAGTGTAATCCAAGTATGAGTCTCTCCCTCGACTCTCCCAACAAAAACCCGCCCCCCCTCTCAGAAAATAGTTCCGGCGTCCATGCTCAGAGCGCGGACCATAGACAGGCGGACAGGACCATAGACAGGACCATAAACACGTGAACAGGACCATAGACTCACGCGGACAGAACCACAGACAGGACCATAGACAGGACCATAAACACGTGAACAGGACCATAGACACGCGAACAGGACCATAGACTCACGCGGACAGACCCCATAGACACACGCGGACAGGACCACAGACAGGACCATAGACAGGACCATAAACACGTGAACAGGACAATAGACACGCGGACAGAACCATACGCGGATCATCGACACGTGAGACACGTGGATCATAGACAGTTGGACAGGACCATAGACACTCTTCTGTCAGGACCATAGACAGAACCGTACGCGGACAGAACCATTGACACGCGTTCAGACAATCCCCAGCTTGTTGCAAGTGCAGGTCTCCCCGTGTCTCCTATGCGCTCACGAAATTAAAGCTCGGGTACCTAATTTTCTTCTTGCATTAAAAATGCTTGGTGGTTGTGGATATTTAAACTGCGTGATTGGATAGAATAATACTGGCTTTGTCTGATACATATATAATGTTCAGTAACTTATAAAGAGAAAGCAACTAAAAAAGAAGAGTTAGAAAAGTTTCATAAAACAAATTCAATTCATTGAATTTTGAAATCATTCTTGATTTTCATCTAATTCATGAGTGCTGTGTGTTTAATTGGTGCCAAAGTAAAAAATTGTATCTTTTACAACATAGTGACTAAAATAAGTGTGTGCCATAACAGAGCAATTCATATTAAACATGTTATATTTGATTGTGGTTATTCTATTTAGAATGTCTATCTTTAAACCTGTTTTTTTCAGAATTCTGTTTCATAAAACCATGTGAATTCGCTGACTTCAGATAATGATAACTTTTGTTACAGACCTGCTATGAAAAAAAGGAAAACAGATTTGAAAAGAGATTAAAAAGCAGCTTTAAGATGGTGTCAGAATCTTAAGTTGGTCAAATTTCACCATGTGATGGGTTTTCCCAGATCGCATCACATATATATAACTTATAAACTGTGCAGTTGTTTGTTTTGCACTGTTCCTGTCTTGTTTGAATCGTAGCTGCGTTTGTTGCTTTCCTCCTGCACTCGTAAATCGTTCATGTTTGTCTCAGATATTTACCACTATTATTGTTTTGCTGTTTGTGCTGAAAACTATTTAATAATAACGATGTTTCTAACAAGGACTGTGTCTTTATTCACAGCATCACAGTTGAAATGACTTATAAAATAATGAATCCATAAAACTATCACATAAACCTACAGTAGAAACATGTGTAATGAGCTCAAACAGCTTTGTTTGCTATTGTTGTTCTGAAGAGGACAAAGTAGCAGCGTAAATGGGACCGCTCCTGTGTGATCGCCCTCCTGTGGTTTGTTGTGGGAACATTCTCCTCAAAACTCAGTAAGGGGAACGCGCCAGTATAACATCAATTGTGCTTAAGTAGGTCCACCGCAACCGCTAACGTAAGCCACGCCGCGCAAGTATACACTAGGCAAGCTGAGAGAGAAAGGAGAAGAGCTGTGGTGCATGGCCCTATTTATAGGGGACAGACCTACGCCAGGACGTGAAGGTGATTGGAGGGTGGATCGTTAGATCTTCTCAGGGCGGGAAGCGATGCTTCCGTAGAGATATGCATTAGCAAAGCCTAAAGAGCGATGCAACATATGAAATAGAACATCAGAAACCACTGGAACTTGAGAGAAACCAAAATAAACTTCCAGAGTTTGGCGCACCACGATCCGTCTCTGTCTGGTTCATTGCTGACAGAGGAATGGGCCAAAATCCCAGCAACAGTGTGTGAAAAAACCTAGTGACTAAGTGACTACCTAGTCACTCCTAAGACTTAAAGAAAACGTTTGAGCTCTGTCATTGCCAACAAAGGGTATATAACAAAGTATTGAGATTAACCAATTACTTATTTCCCCTATCATTTGCAAATAAATGCTGTGTGATTTTCTGTACTTTTTTTCTCATTCTGTCTCTAGTTGATGTATACAACAGTACAGTGCACTCCACGGTACGATATAAAGTACAGTATGCAGCAATACAGTACAGTGCAGTACACGACGCTGCACATAATGGAACTTTATAACAAGTGAACTTGCCGCCACACTAGAATGAGTGGGATGTGTGTGTGTGAATGCTTGGTGGTGGTGCGAGGCATCGACAGAGCAGTGAGTTCACATGTCACCATTAGATGCAGCAGTAATGTCACACGTCACAGATGCGATGATTATGTGCTCCTCAGGTTCAGTCAGACTGAGGAGGATCATGGAGCATTTAAGGACTGACGCTCTTCTGGGTCTGGGGGTCACACTGCTGCAGGGAGCGCTGGGGGTCGTGGAGGACGAGGACCAATGAGAGGTTTGTGGTCAGGAGCAGAGGTGTGCAGTCAGGATTCATCAAGGCTAACAATGTGATGTCACACTTTGTCCTCAGTCAGTGGTTGTTCAGTGTCAGATCTTGTTTTTGCAGCTGCCTCTCCGGGAGCAGATGGGGACAAGTACCACACGTACCAGAAGTTCTTAGAAGACATGGCCTGGAGCAGGGGTCTCAAACCGGTTCCAGAAAGGGCCATGTGGCACAGGTTTTACTTCCAACAGTTCCAAACTGAGCAGGAGCACAGATGACTCCATCCATTTCCTCAGGTGAGTCCAGTTTTAACCTGAAGATCTGAGGAAATGGGTGGAGTCACCTGTGCTCCTGCTCAGTTTGGAACTGTTGGAAGTAAAACCTGCAGCCACATGTCCCTTTCTGGAACCGGTTTGAGACCCCTGGCCTGGAGAGTTTAACGAGGAATCCTTGTGCCATTTTTACTGTTGCATTGTTTTGTTCTACTATGTAAGCAATTGTATATTTTTTATGACATTTGTTCTCTGTGATCTATGCAAACTGCTAGAGTTCAGTTATAGCTCTAATAAACAGATTTTTTTTATTCAAATATCTTTTTTCTTTTCTTTCTTTAGAGTAAAAATAGTTTTGAAAAAAAAAAATATATATATATAAATCAACATTTAAACTTTGCTTGTACTGGAACTTTATTTAAATGCATGTTCACAAACAAAAAACACTGTAACAAATGTATCAAATATTTGACAAAAGACAGATTCCATGAGAGTTTATTTGTGCTTTTTCTTTTTGAGGTTTTCTTGAGGTTTTTGGACTGAGTCACCGCTTCCCTCTGCGACGCTGGGCTGCCAGGCTAGAGGGCTCTGTCGGTACATCGGCCATGGAGGGAGAGTGAGCTGGAGGTGAACAGGCACTACATTAGAGTGTGTGTGTGTCTCTGCATGTGTGTACAATGATACATCTAAGTTTATATAGCAAAAATACTGCATAAGCCTAAAACAATACCTGTGAATACATTGGAACACTTACCACACAAGACACGGCAAAACCAGCTAACACTATGTACACGGTCCATCCAAACTGCTCCACAATCAAACCATAAATAAATCCAATTGCCTGTAAAAAATAAAAAAATAAAAAAAGGGTTACACATTGAATTGAGAAATGAAACGTCAATGCACTCACCGCTGAGACAAGAATGATTCCTTGGAAAATCTGCTCCGCCAGCTTCTGACCCTTATAATCCTGTAACGAATGAAAATATAATATACGATTTTAGAACAATGTCAGGAAGCAATACCTTTTAGACACAATGCATCTAACTATCTAATACTTTTAAGGATGAAACACAAAAAGCCCAAAACCTGCTCCCTTCTCGATTTTTGTCACATTGTATTAACCTTTTATGGATAAACGTTTTAACCCCTCAATGAAGTGGTCATAATCACATCATAACGGTATGTTTTGTCAAAACGATTTCCCTTTCCTCATTTTACCTACACCTCCTTTCACCCCCCCCCTGACTTTATATGGAGCCGCCACTAACTTGTTAGCTACATCTATCTATGCACAATTAAGCTTACTAATTAACTCGGTAATAACCGCTGCAACAAAGACTAACTGTCAGCTAACGAGTAACAACCATAGACAGCAAATATGAACAGTTGCCAAACAAAACAATAATGGCAGCTAGCAGGAGTTAGCATCATCATCGCATGAATGAAACTATGCTAAAACAAATGTTAGCAAGCACAGCTCAACGCTACAAACGCCTACCATATGAGTCGGTATGGATTTAAATATGGATAACATCTTATCTCTCCTTTTAAGAATACTTCAATGGTGAGAAAGGATGGAAAAACAGAAAAAAACACTTATTATCCACACATCCGGTTTGGTGAACGATACGTAGCGCTGTGAATGCGGTTTCCTGTTTCAGATTAAAAAAGGACCTGGATTCAAAACTTCGACTATAGTTTGAACCCATGACTGTATTTATTAAAACATATCTTGCCCGGGCATTTTCGCTCTATTTTTCAATTTTGCGCAAACCACCGTAGGTCTGAAGGGACAAACAACATAATATTAATTTTTTGAACACGGCTCATATGATTTTTTTTCTTATCATGGCTAAAACTGAAAACGTTGAATTGTATTCATGTTATTATAATACATATAAAATACAAAAACAACAGTGAGCTCTCGTCATCAGTTCAGTTAACCGTTCGCAAACGGGTATTAGCTGTCCCCATAAACGCCTGTACATAATGGCAGAAATACGTTAGATTTCTCTATAATTTAAATCGCATTTATTGAACAAATTCAATATTAACTTAATTTAGAGCTTATTTATGCACAAAATATACTTTGGAAAGCACAATTTATTTTGTAGTGTTTTCATTTTCCGCAGGGATTGCATCGGTTTCTATGGCTACATCCAAATTATGAATAAGGTAACACTTCCCGAATCCTTCCTTCTCCATTTCAATTACTTTGTTGTTTTATTTAATCCAATTGGTTTTTGAAAATACTTTAAAATGTTTAAATTTTTATTGGACCAGACCCGGATTTATATATGATCAGTGTTGAATTAAAAGCTCAGATAAGGGAGTATGATGATGTATTTTTTAAGAATTTGGATCCGGCCTTTCACTTAGCCCTCGATAGTAAATAAAAGTTGCCGATGTTGAGTTGGCACTTTGACTCAATGTGAGTTTTTTCTTTGTGGATTTACGAGATTTAAGAAGCATTTGACACTGGTCTATTTTGTTTAAATTTTCAGACAGAAGACGCTTGTAAGTGTATTCATTGCAGACGCCTCTGCAGCTGACCTCAGAAAGCATCTCTCATCATTTGTCATGAACGTGGAAGATCAATTATAACATCGCTCCTATTTTAGCGTTTATTAACTCGAATGAAGACTGCATAATGACACTACGGAAGGGTAAGGTTTTTTTACTCAATCACTTTTACTCAAAACATAGATTATATAAATAATGTATTTTTTCGCAATATTATAATTAAATGCACGAGTTAGGCTCATTAAGGTTAGTGTTTGTTAACAGTTATTCTTGTGATGTTTCAGTAAACCTGGTGATCCTGGTGCTCCTGGCTGTGGCGTTTCTGATCATAGTTCAGAGAAACCTCTTCAACCTCAGCGACTTTTTACGCAAGGAAAATCCAGGTAACTCTTTGATTTAGTATATTTAAGATTTCTGTCTTTTCCCATGTTTGTCAATATTATGCAGAAAAAGAACCAATGGTTCACAGCTGATGTGACTGTGGTAACTGTTTGTATCTATGATTATTAATGTGACACAAGAGCCCTAAACCACACCCCGGTTTGGGACCTTTTCCACCAGCCCTATTTAATCGCTTCCAGATACTCTTTTAGTACCTGGTCAGCTTCATCCTGGGCCTCTGGGCACCAGCAGGAGGGCAGTCCTTGTCTTCCTCAGAGTCCCAGAAGGAGGCCAGTCCTTGTGCTCCAGGAACTGGAGTCAAGACAAAACATGGGGAGGCAGCGTTTCCGATTCATCCGGATTAATCTGTAACAGTCTTCCTAAAAATTGGCATTGAGCCGCATAACATACATAACTGTTCTCCAGACGCTATTGTGGTTCTCCCGTTCGAGTCGAAGCTCTCTCAGGACTCTGGTCTGGACTCTGGTCTTGACCAGGCTCTGGACTCTGGTCTGGACTCGGGTGCCAGGTCTGGGGTCCAGATTCCGGTTCTCATCACAGCGGCTGAGGAGCGCCTGGGTGCTGCGGTGACGGCCATAAACAGCATCTTCTCCAATACCAAAGCCAACGTGGTCTTCACCATCGTTGCTCTGAACCAGACTGTGCGACAACTCAGGTCAGAGCTGCTTCTGAATGTAAAGATTACATGCTCTGATGTATGCTCTATGATCTCCTGAATTTGTTATGATTCCATTATTAAGGAAGTAATCTTTATTTATATAGCAAACAGAGTCACAAAGTGCTCCACACAGATGGGAGTGAGGTATTATGAATGTAGTGTGTTATTATGAATCATATGTGTGTGGACCTCCTCAGGACCTGGATGTCTGAACCAAAGCTCAAGCGCATTAGGTATAAAATTGTTGTCTTTGATCCTGAGCTGCTCAAAGGGAAGAGTCTCCATGATCCAGCCAGAGCGCAGGCTTCGAAACCAGTGAGAAACCAACGTGTACTAATGTTTCAACTTGAGATTTAAACATTTACTAATGTTTCAACCTGAGAATAAATGCCATTGTTTGTTTCTGTAGTTGTCTTTTGTTCGATTCTATCTCCCGCTGTTCGTCCCCGACGCTGAGAAGGTCATTTATGTCGACGATGACATCATCGTACAAGGTCCGTTTACTGTGAGTTCAATATGTTTCAGGCTTTTCATAAGACACATATGACCACGTCCCCTAGGACTGAGCACACCCTCCTGTGGTCTGTGAGCAAATGTGAAGGCTCCTCGTCTCTGTTGATGGACCATGTCCCCCTACCTGATTTCCCTCTTTTCTGTTATGTTCTTCTATTCTTGCACCCAAAGGATATAGCCATGGCATAAATGTGTGTGTGTGCGCGTGTCTCTCTGTGTGTTTGTAGGAGATATCCAGGAGCTGTTCCAGGTTCACATTAAACCAGGACAAACCGCTGCCTTTTCAGACGACTGCGACTCTACAGCAAAAGGAATTGTTCGAGGATCTTCACATCAGGTCCCTCTCCTGCAGTGGTCTCTCTTCTCTGTACAAACTGTCAGAGTAACTCATTCTCCCTCCCTCAGAATACCTACCTAGGGTTCCTAGACTTCCGTAAACAGTCCATTAAAGCCCTGGGACTTCGTGCCAACACCTGCTCCTTCAGTCCTGGAGTCATCGTTGCAAATATGAGCGAATGGAAAAATCACAACATCACCGAGAAACTGGAGCAGTGGCTGGAGCTCGACACACGGTGAGGATGATACTGATACGGCTGCTGCTGGTGGCACTACTTAGTCGGTTATTTTTAAATTACAAAGACAACATCACTGAGCTTGGGGAGTTTACTTACATGGAAGTTTATAGGAGCAAGAGAAAAGAGCCAAACTTCACCATGAGGACTTCCCTGTTGGGTTCATTGAGCAAGCATGTTAGCAATGAGCGAGCAGGTTAGCATCGTTCGTGTTTACAGTGTGTGGTTCTGTGTCTGCAGTGAGAACCTGTTCAGTAAAACTTCGGGCGACAGCGTCACTCCTCCGCTACTCCTCGTGTTCTACAGACGTCACGCCAACATCACTCCCATTTGGCACATCCGTCACCTGGGTCAGAACCAACAGGACCTCACAGACACAGACCATCTCAGACTCAGACCAACGCTTGGACTCAGACCCTCTCTCTGGTTCCTCAGGTTCCTTAGGAGCTGGGAACCGGTTCTCCTCCGGGTTCCTGCGAGCGGCAAAGCTGCTGCACTGGGACGGTCACTACAAACCCTGGGGCCATGGTGCCGCCTTCACAGACCTCTGGGACCAGTGGTACATTCCAGACCCCACTGGGAGCTTCCACCGCATCCGCCGCCATGATGACAGACTGTAACACCAACAGTCTTCCTGGAGATGTGAGACAGGCTTCTTGTTTTGTTCAGCGCTTTGACTTGTGCATAAACTGTGCTGTAAGAATAAACTTGTAACAATATAACAACTCTGTAACATTGTATTTTCTGTTTTACAGGTTTATGTGAAACATTGAGAGCAGCTTAAACCAAATGTTTTACTCAGGAGCTAAAGTCTCCAAGTCTCCATAAAGGTCTCAGTCGTACAGGGATTATTCAAAACAAAGGAAGGTTGCAGACTAACTTCAGTTAGCAGATTTTCCCCAAAGTTTCATTCTTATCCAAAGAACTTTTTCAAACTCAGAATACGAGTTGGATGTGTCTAACCACACCTGTGGGTGTGGTTAGACACATCCAAGTTCTGCTACGAAGTGGTAGGGAGCAGGTGTAACAGCCCTGCCAGGGCTAACAATCCTAACTTGTTAGCATGTCACTGACCTATTGACCTCTATTTTAGACTACAAAAACGACTTTACCAACATTATAGAGAAAATGTAAGCATTCTAGAAAACCTGCTAATTGAAGAACAGATGATGCATGAGCAACATTCCTTTAAAAAAAGAAAAAAAGTCTCAAGCAACGGTACGGAAACAGTTTATCTTTTCTCTTTGTTAAAGAAGTTTCCTGTCACCTGCTACAGTTCAGTATTGTTATACTTGGGTGCTTAACTCTTCCTTCAGTTTAATGTCTTTATCCTGTTTTTTGTAAAAGGTGTATATTGTCAAGTTTTGTAAATACATGAAATAAACTTTTAAATATATTACACATGTAAGTTTACTTTAATAGTACATAATGTTCAAACTGCAATAAATATATTTAAAACATAACGACCTAAAAAGGAAAAGTACAAAAACTATTATTGATGTCCCGTGACATCACCAGTGTTTTATGCAGAAGAGTGATTTGATCACAAGCTGGAGCCAGTTTCCTTAAATAGGCATTTGTTCTGACGTTAGCTTAGCGCTGACCATGGATGAGGCAGACGAGTTGCAAAGGCGGGCTGGAGTTTCCCCCTGAATGAAGGCCTCTGATTGGTCACTCCTTATATTGTCTTGTGAATCCAAATATCACATAAACAGCAGGAGCACAGAGAGTATTAAACCACAGATTTAAGCCTAAGTCCCTGTGCTCCAGACATTACTGAACTAAAGTAATTTACTTTAACATGGCGGTCGATAGGAGCCAAACTTCACCATGCGCTAGCAGGTAAGCATTCTCCATCTGTCCAATGTTAGAGAAGCCATGTGAAGTTAGCCATTTTTTGGCTTGCGATGCCCCCTCCGGCCAGACATGTAACTGCAACCGCAATGACAAGCGCGTGCACGAGATTTGCGGAGATGCCTTCAACAGAGGTATGAAATGTTACTGTTTTGTAAGATATTTAGACCAAATCAATGTGAGTGTATATTTTGAAGCGATACTTCAGCAAATGTAAAGCAAAGTGAATCACGTGAAGAAATAATACAGTACACGTTTGAAAGAGGAACAAAAATAGTCGTCGGTTTTGTATCTATAAACATAAGCCTAATTGTAATAATAATAAAAAATCTACAGGTGGACATGCTTCTATGAAAAGCCAAAATCACATTTACTGGGCCCAATGAGGTTAGCGTAGCATGACTTTTTGTAGTCTATTTTGGCCCAGTCCCACTGCACCCCACACTCCTCTACGGAGTGTGCATTTGTCTGAAGTGCATGCAAGGGTTTGAGTGCGCAGGTTACAAGCGTGCAAAAAAGGCAGAATTGGGATAGTGCAGGTTACGTCATCAACTAGTAAAGAGATGGTCATTTTCAGACCAGTGGGGGCGGGTCCCGGCTCCCAGCTCAAAAGTGGCCAAAATGACATGCGCTGCCGCTGACATGCTTGCAATACCACCTGCTCGCTCAGTCTGCTAATGTCCCCGTGACCACTTTGCTGCTCTCTGATTGGTTGTCGCACGAATGTCCCAAGGAAAGGATGAGCAGAATCTCCTGTGGGTGCGTTGATTTTTCGCTCCTGCCCCTCCCCTTTGACTTTCCCGCCAAGTCCGTGCGTGTCTACTGAACAGACCGTTTGTGCGTGCCGAGAGGTCCGTGCGTTGCGACGGTCGAACGCGCGTCACCATAGACTTTGCATTGAAACCCGACGCAACGCATGATCCGGTCTGAAAGCACCATTACAGGCGCCTAGTCTGCCGGAAATCAAGAGAAGAAGAACTAAACATGGCAGAGGGTAACAACATTAACAACGCGGCTCAAAATCCGGTATATAACTATATTTTATAATTTTGGTCGTAAATAAATGTGTAAGAAATATTAATTCCATAAATGTGTTAATGAGAAGATGTTTCTTGTCCCTCTCTAGAAACGTTTTTTTGGCCCCAATGCAAGTTTTATTTTTTTATTCTGGTATTGTTTTATTCTACAGAAAATAACGCATTTATTTAACTAACAAGCGTTACTGAACTAGTGAGTAAAAGTAATGTGTCAAATTTACTCACAAATATAAGATTGAGGCCCATAGGGTGCAACAGGGTCTGCTACGTCTAACAACCAAGGATGAGTATAGCACGGAGGTGAACTTCATATTGCTCAGGGGTAGTAACAGCGCGAACTATGAATAATCTGGAGGGTTGGGGCTGGTATCAACACATTAACCACATTGATTAGGGGCCAAGGCTTCATCAAATGAAAATGCTAAGAATGTAAACATCTTGGTTTTAAAATAACATGGAAAGCTGTAAAACTAGCATTGAAGCTAGCCTTAATTAAACACTGCAAAAAAACGACCAAGAAACATCTTCTTAAGAACACATATTATGGAATTAATATTTCTTAACATTCATTTACGACCAAAATGATCAAATATTGTTATATACCTGATTTTGAGCCACGTTGTTAATGTTGTTGTCCTCTGCCATGATCAACTCTGCGCAGGCTCGATTGTTAATGTCTGTGAGCAGTGACGTAATATTGATAATTTGCTGACTGCTGAAATTCGTATTTTCAGAGAACAAAATGCAAGCACAAAAAAAAATCGTATTCACAAGTACGAAATCACACATACAGTTTTATATTTTGTTATTCTTAATTACGAAATTCCATGTCTTTTTAGTTTGTATTATCTTAATCATGAATTAACAAAATATTTTTATGCACAAATACCAATAAATATGCACGCGTTTTTTTTTAGTTATGCACGTCTTAATTGACAGTAACCTTACCCCATAACGGTCTGCCATGTCTTCTCCGAGTTTTCTACGGATATACTTACGCCTACTACACGACACGCCTCTGTCTTGCAGGCTGGAGACAGACCCTTCTCCGTATTATAATAGATCCATGCCCTTCTCTCCCTGGACACCCTGAGCACTCACACCCATCATCAGGAACGCGCAAATGAGGGGCGCGAGGGTGGAAGGGGCGGCTATGGGTGACTGCAGCTGTAAAGTGCCAAACTGCTGTTGTGTCCTCAGGCAAGACACTTCACCCCCATTGCCTAGAATGAGTCTGGTGTGTGTGAATGGTTGGTGGTGGTCGGAGGGGCCGATGTTACATACTGGTTGCCTTGCTTCTGTCAGTGTACCCCAGGGCAGCTGTGGCTACATTGTTAGTTTATCATCACCGTGTATGGAGTGAATGAATAATGACATGTAAAGCGTCTTTGAGTGTCCAAAAAAGTGCTATATAAAACCGATGCATTATTATTAAAGGGGACATATCATGAAAAATCCTTAAATGCCTTATGTTGTGAAGTTGGAGCCTCTAGAAGTGCAAAAAAGTTTAAATCAGTCTCTTCATGGGTTGCAGAGAACACTTCATATTCTGTTTAGGTAAGATTTTTCAACCCGTTCTGATTTTGCCATTCTCTATTACGTGTTTAGAATTATTACGTCACAGTATTTGCTATATAAGGGCATGGGCGTCAAACAAAACACTTCGGCCCAGCCCTCTACTGTGCATACTTCGAATTTGTAGTCCAAGCTCAAGGATGCCAGCGCACAGGGCTGGACTGGCCATCGGGCGTACCGGGCAATGCCCTAAGGGCCGATGCCCATATTTGGGGCGGTCTGTCTGCCTCATACAAAACACATGTTTATGAGAAGTGTAAATCCGTTGAGAATTGTTCGAGCGGGCGCGCGTATCCGCGGGGCACCTGCTGTATGTACTCGAACGGGATTCCGCCACCTCAGCGGCCGCAGTGTTCCGGGGCATCTGCGGCCGCTTTGTAATGAGCAGCTTCCGCGTCCAGCGGCTGCGAGAGGCTGTGAGCGTCCAGCCGCTTCACCGTGTTGTGGCTGAGCGCGCAGCCTCAACGTGGCCATGTACCCAACCCTATAAACGCGCACAGGACCATGCGTGTCTTTGAGTAATCTGTGCACACAGTCCGCGTCTCCCCTCTCCTCTCGAAGCGCGATTAAACACCCTAAATAAAGCTCTGATACCTAAATTTTGCATTGCATTAAAAGTTTATGTTTGAGCCCAAAAGTAATATGTTGTGAACAAATTAAACAGATTTAGAGCCAGCAAATGGCTGACAATATGCATTTCAGTCTTTTTTGACCAATTCTCATCCCTGTAACAAACAATAGTGTTGTCTGTGTCCACCTCCCTCACTCTGAGACATGTTCATTACCCTCTTGTAATGTAGACTATTGCATTTTATTTTATTGTTGAAACTGCACATATCCTGATCCTCTACAGTATTTGCTTCCACATACTGTATAAACCAGGAGTCGGCAACCTGCGGCTCCGGAGGTGCATGCGTCTTTTTCCTTCTGTAGAAGGAAAAACGTTCTTAACGTTTTTAAATGCAGTAAAAAGTAATATTCAATTTAAACATTTATGTCAACGTAGTGTGTCATATCCTGCGACGTAGGCCAGCGCCAGGTGGCCGCTGTTGTAAACAAACCGGCATGTGAGCTCTGCTTGTGTACAAGTCTCTCCATGGCCTCGCACCAAAATATATTAGTGACATGTTAGTACCATACGAACCAGCCCGGACTCTGAGGAGCACAGGGACTGGACTCCTGCTGGGACTCTGAGGAGCACAGGGACTGGACTCCTGCTGGGACTCTGAGGAGCACAGGGACTGGACTCCTGCTGGGACTCTGAGGAGCACAGGGACTGGACTCCTGTTAGTGCCCAGAGTCAGAACTAAACATGGGGAGGCTGCTTTTCAGATTCATGCTGCTAAAATCTGGAACAGTCTTCCTGAAGATGTGAGACAGGCCTCCTCAATGACAATGTTTAAAACCAGGTTAAAAAACAGTTCTGTTTAGCTGTGCATACAACTGAGGGATTTTATATTTTTAGCTTTCTTTTTAATGTTCTGTGATTATTTATGATTTTAATGCTTTCTTATTTTTTTCTGCCTTGTGTATGAATTGTGCTATATAAATAAACTTGCCTTTCCTTGCCTTGACTGTGCGCATGGATCCCAAAGCTAAAAAGAGAAGAGTCGATAATAAGACTGGACTAAGAATGAAAATTAACATTTGCTTTCAGTCAATGAGGAAGGCCTGCTTCATGTTTGCGATGTAATGAGAAGTTTCTATGAGATAATTGTATCTGTGCTTAGAAACTACGAAAATGGCCGCTCGGGGTGGAGTTGAACCTGTGTCACCTGGATGGGGGCGTGGTCAAAAGCGCCTCATTTGAATTTAAAGAGACAGCACCAAAACAGGTTGCTCTCAGACGCACCTCAGAACAGGTGTAGAAGAAAGGCCCGTGGAGCTAAAAATAATGAGACTCAGACCCAGGCATTGCAGTTACGCTTTATATAGACCACAAATTAATGATTTAGATGTAAAAATCAATTATTTGAAAACACGATATGTCCACTTTAACATTATTATTCCCATAGAAAATACAGTATACATACTGCACTGTTCCCGTTTTATAGTTATAGCGCAATTACTGTTACTGACACTATAGTCTGCTAATACTAGAAAAGTTGTCTGTAGGTATAAAACTATTAGATCAACTGTTCTAGTTATTTTTAAATTACTAGAAGTAAGTAAATCAGCCATTACCAAAGTCAGTAACACCGCGGCCCCCTTAAAAATCTGATGGGTCTGCGCGGCCCCCCATACTAACCAAGAAGACAACGTTAAAAATAGGCTCTTCTCGTTATTGTATTTGGGGGAAATAGCCTCTGCTACAAACATGTAAATGACGCACCCCGGAGAAAGAAGAGCAGAAGAGCCCCGGGGAGAGGCCAGAAGAGCAGGACCTGTTGGTTATAAAGAAGCCCCCTTTCTCATAAAGATAAGAGATCCTTTATTCGTCCCACAGTGAGGAAAATTCAAACATACAACTTATCACCACTTTAGAAATACGTCTTACTTTTATTTCAATGTTTGGGTAAAAATGTGTATATGTATATTTGACATAATATGAATAAATGTGCTGTGTCCATCTTTGATTGCTGTCAGCCTCTGCTTAGGGAGTCCTAGAAAAAGAAAGAAAATAATATTTGAACTCATTGAGAATTTTTTTTCCATTTGATTATCATCACTACCTGTCCTCTGCGCAGCAGTGAATGCACAAATTTGACTGTAGGAGGAGGGATGGGCTGAAAGCTTTTCCTTTTTGAGAGTCCCCCAGCAGAGCTAGACTACAGTCTAGTCTCCTCCACATAGTCTCCTCCATAGTGCACACTGTTACGCAGAGACTTTTTGCTGTAGACTCGGTCACGTCTACAAATCATTAGTGTAGACATTAGTAGAAATAATATGTTTCTTTATTCATTTTACTAATATATTATTTATTTATTATTAAGATACAGTATGAAAGCAAAGTATGACTGTGACTATGGCGATGGTTATAGTTGCAGCGAGGAGTGTGCGAGCTTCATAGACACCATCAGTAAAACCAAGCTCTCCCCTGCATTTATAAAGATGTGGTTTTGGAAAGAGTCACGCTTCGAAGTTGTTCTATTGACCCCTTGCATGTGACGTCACGGCCGCGCCTACTCTCCATGACAGACGGCAGAAGTCTAACTGCGAGCCTACGGACACCTGACCAAAACAACCTGTTTCAGCGCATTACAGCCAGAACTGTGACATTTTGCAGTGCGGTTGATTATACTAACAGGCAAGGACATAAACGTTTTATCTGATACCTGCTCGTCATGAAGACGACGATGGCGGCAATCACGGGTCAACATCCAGTTAGGCAATCCTTAACTTCTCCAAATACCACTCTTTGTGAGCCCTGACCTGATGTCCTACTTCCACCTATAACGTAATCGAACATTGCTTGAAGCAGCCACTTCTCGATTTAGGAGAGGAAGCTCCGTTTTTAAGAGTTGTAGTCAGTTTTGCTCTCGCAGCAATGCTAGTTTCCAATACTTCCGCCGTAAGCTCATGCACAATCACGTGACTGGATGACGTTGATGCATCTGGTCAATATGCAGATACTATTTACTGTTCAAAACCTAACGTCTCAGACATTTGCAACTCCCTGCAACATCATTTTGATTAAGTTCAACTGTGGCTCTTGTCCATTTCTCATTAAGACAATCAAATCATCTGCCATGCTTTTTCAGAAGACAAACATTTACCTGAGCTCAAGCTTCACTTTTTCTAGTTGTCTCCTGTGAAATGTGTGGAAGAGTTCAAATGCCTTTGGCTGGAGACAACCCTCTTAAAAACTCATTCAGAAGGCCGTCAACAAAGTAAACAATTCTTTAAAAACTTTATATCGCTCCATCAACTGCTTTAATTTTTCTGTCAGGAAAATGCATATTCAACCATATTCAAACCTTGAAGAAACGGGTATAGCTCCTTTAACACACTTGTGCCTATGTGAATGACAAGAGACAGATGTCACAGCATCTTCACAGCTGTCACAGCTGTTCACATTTGGGTTGCCAGTTTCTTAGTGAAATTGATTCAATCACCCCAAACCTCAGCAACTGTTTCCAAACGTCCATCACACACACACACTGTAGTTAATAGTATTTTTATGTTGTATAATAGTATTTACAGACATCAATACACGTTCAAACAGTACAGAGCCTTTAGTGAAATTGTTCTTTCATTTAAAATCCACATTAAAGTCGTAGCCGTCGGTGTTGGAGACGTACAGAGAAGCCACTTTCGCCGCCGCATCTGCACAGATTTCACATGACACAGGCATCACATGACAGTATTTGTCCAATAAATACAACATTCAACACAGCAGCAGGGCTTCTTAGCTAGCAGCAGAGGCTGTAAACATGCTCAGAGGATATTTGTTTTAAAAAAAGTGTAGATAAAGGCCTAAAATAAAAAGCTATAAATATGTATATAAACCCGTATGTGTGAACACCCTCATTCAAAATTAAAAGGGAACAAAAAATAAATGAAAAATAACACGTCTCCTCACAGGTATGCCTGCAGGCAAAATTACACACCCTCATCTTTTTATTTGGGAGAAATGGCACAATTGGAGGATGACTAATTACTTTTTTGCCCCGCTGTGTACATTTCAGGACAGAGTTAAAACTTTCACATTCGGTCTAATATCCTTAGTCACATGACAATGAAATGTCACTCACTTTTCACAGGTGTCTTTGTCTCCACTTGCTCCTTCACCTCCTCACCAGGACCTTGCTCCTTCACCACCTCCTCACCAGGACCTGTCTCCTTCACCACCTCCTCACCAGGACCTTGCTCCTTCACCACCTCCTCACCAGGACCTCTTTGCAGCACCTGAAACACAAACTTAACAGTGAAATTGCTGTAAAACAACATTGGACGAAGCGTAAAGAGAACAAGTTTGGATCAGAGTTGGATTAGAAGTCTTCATCAAAGATCGAGACACAAGCATTTGTCCTCATTTCAAAAATGTTTCAAACATTTGGGAAATAAAAAAGCCTTCACCTCCTCTCTGGATCTCTGCTCCTGCACCTCATTCTCAGCCACATGCAGGAGGCCCACAGTGGGACCTCTGGAGCTGAAGCTGATGCTGCTGGATGGATTTGGAAACTTCACATCTACAGAAATCAAAAGTGTTTAACAGAGACAGACACACACACTGTGTGTTCATGAATACGTACTGTTCTAAACAACTGAAGTCGTGACCAATACTGCTCCCAGCAAATCACTGCAGCAGAATTCTGAGGAAGGTGTTTATTCCTCAAAAACAAATTACTGTTTTCTAGTTCTCTTTATACCATAAGACGCGGGGGCTTTATGTCTAAAGAATGTATGTTCTGATGGTTCTTGCCGATTATTGAGTTGTGCTGCCTCAGCTATTTATGATGTGATGTAATGCAAACCTGCGCAGCGCTTCTCACAGCAGCTGAGGCAAACCAAAATGGCAACAAGCGAAAAGTCTAAATACCAACGATTTAATGGTGCTTTCACACCAGATCATGCGTAGGCGTGTCGCGATATTCAATCAATCAATTAATCGCATGATAATTTAAATTAGCTCGATAGAATTCATTGCGGCCAGGAAAACTATTTGCAGGCTTGTTTGTTTTCCCGTCTCCCTCCCTCTCTGGTCAGAGAACCGCAAAGTGGTCACGCGTGACGCCAGCAGACTGAAATAACTCAAAAATACAAAATAGATCCAAAACAGGACCTAAACCAGGACATAACCAGGATTGACAACAGGGGACACAGTAGTTCTCATTCAGGCTCTAGTAGTGACTAAACTAGCGCAATTGGCGTTAACGTGTTCGCCGATGCGGAAGTCCCGTTTAATAATAAAATAAACTTATGACGAACCTTTGTGAACACATACTGCTGTTATATCAAGTCTCTGGAAGGTCTCTGGACACAGAGACGCTTCAGAACTGCATTATTGGCAAGAACTTTACAAAAACTTTACTTCTGGCGGTGGTCTTTAAAAATAAGTGTCTTTGAAAAGGTGTACCTGCATAGTTATCATTGTATTAGATGAAAATGATCTCAGAACGACAATACTATCGCAATAATTTCTGAGGCAATTAATCGTCCAGCAACATTTTTAATCGTGACAGGCCTAATCATGCGTTGCGTCGTCTTTCAATGCAAAGTCAATGGTGACGCGCGTTCGAGCGTCGAGTGCGTCTTGTGATCGGAAAATCGACGCACGCAGGAGATAAATATTGCTGTGCGTTTCCTCAGCACGCTCGTGCAGCGACCAATCAGAGCCGCAGAGTGGTCACGGAGACATTAGTGATCTGAGCAAGCAGACTGAAAATACACAGCCAAAACAGGAGCTACACCAGGACTAAACCAGGGTTGACGATGGGGGACAAAGTGCTTGTGAACATGTGTTTTCATGCTCTCGTGACTTTATGCAACTGCTTTGAGCGTGTTCGCCGATGCGGAAGTACCGTTTACTAATAAAATAAATGTATGGCGCACCTCTGAACACGTACTGCTGTTATATAAAGTCTCTGGAAGGTCTCTGGACACAGACGCTGCAGAGCTGCATTATTGGAGATGAACTTTACACAAAAAGCTGATAGCTTAACTCTGTTAGCATCAAAGTCCGCCTGCTACTTCCGCCACTTCCGGTGGGTGCCATCACTGGCCAGGACTTCTGGTGTGAAGGCCCCAGCGTCTGAAAATTAAAGTTTGTGCGTCTGGTGCGAGAGGCGTCAGCATTCCAGCGTCGGCGGTGTGAAAGCACCTTGAGACACTTAATGCAATCTAAGGCGAGATGTTAACGGTTCCATGTTGTGATATGGGGTTTGGTTTAAGTAGTCAACTGCTCCTGTGAAACTATACTACTGCATGGTAGTCCTATTTAGGGCTAGGCGATATGGCTCACAATACAAGTGATTCATGTCGGTCAATATCGAAAATTAATATTTTTTGTTTTGTTGAAAGAAACTTAAAGAAAACCTTGCAGAAATGGGTATAGCTCCTTTAAACCAAAATCTGTAAAGGAATGTTTTTTTAGATCTTAAAGAATTTTTTGAAAATTATGTTTTAAATTCACTTCATTACTAGGGCTGGGACAACGCGTCGACGCAATCGGTGACGTCGACGCAAAAAATACACCGACGTATAATATGCGCGTCGGTGCGTCACACACAAAACAAAGATGGCGGCGAGCGGTAGCAATGCAGGTGCCGTGTTAGAGAAGTGCAAGCCGGTGTAACGCTGAGATACACTGCCTTGAAGAGATGCACAGCCTCAGCTGTTTATCATGTAATGCAAACCTGCGCATGCGCGTCTCACGGCAGCCGAAGCAAACCAAGATGGCGGACCGTGAATTTCTTTAAAAGTTAAAATATGAACAAATTCAGACACGAATGTCACTTTTAATGCAATTTGAGGCGAGATGTTGATGGTTCCGTTTTGTCACATGTGGGTTTTAAGAGTCAAAGTTTCGTGCAAAGTTTAGTTTAAGCAGTCAACTGCGCCTGTGAAACCACAAAGCTAATGTTTTCATAGCAGTCCGCGGCTGCTGACGTAGGCTGATGACGCGTCCTGTGGCAACTCTACAGCTTACAACTAGTCTGTCTTTCTTTGTATCAAACGGAATATTGGCGCCCGTAATAGCCCCTACATGTATTATTCACTGTCATGCCCGCCGTATATGGACATTTTTCAACATGTGTTCAATATCCTTAATGTGTTTAACTGTTGATTGATTCTCTGATCTGTGTTGGTGACTTCAATGTTGTTTTAAGTCATCTGAGATGACTTCTACTGTATTCTTTCAGTAACTCTAAAAGAAAGGATGACTGGTTGAGCTTTTTATTTGCTACACAATGCATTGTTTTTCTCTTGTACACTCTTACTTGAATTTTATTTTTGAATTTTGAGTTTAAGAAAAAGGTGAGTGGCAGAGTTTTGACTGTTATTTGTATATGAATGAAGAATTTAAGAGATGCACTTTAATTAATGGACTTCAGTAATATAGGCCTATGTGTCTTCAACTTAAATGTTAAACTCTGTTGGTTCAGGAAGGACGCCATGACAGGCTGATGGCTCCCACTGTTTTTGCTGGAAAAGCACTCTTTGTTTAGCTTAAAGCCTTCAAGTTTACATTGGTTACTGTTTTCTTTTAGTTGCTCTACACAAGTATTTGGCTGAACTTTTTCATATTTTTATTGAATGCTAAGCATCAAATGTTTGTTTCAAGAATGATAAGATGCACTTTTTTCAGTAAGCTGTGTTTTCAAGGCTTTAAGGTTTTATGCTACCTCTAAGAATGTCTTATTTTTTAATTTTAAGAGCAAGCAATACATATTTTTTGTGAAGGAATTCATGTTTTTTTCATTAAAATATTTAAATCAACATGTATACATCAATATTAGTCAATTAATGGGGAGATAATCGAGAATCGAATCGAAATCAAATCGAAGCGAAAAAAATAATCTTTAGATTAATCGATGCATCGAAAAAATAATCGCTAGATTAATCGTTTAAAAAATAATCGTTTATCCCAGCCCTATTCATTACACATACAGTATATAGGCCTGCATATGTATTTTTTCATTTCAGATGTGGAGCATTGTCCTTGTCCCTCCTTGCACAAGGCCATTGTTTCCTTGCTTTCTCTGTCCCTATGCATATATGTCAATTAACGTTAATACCAGAGGTCTCAATCTGAAACTAGACCATCTTGTTCTTTTCCATGACTGCTTGCGAGTGTTTTTGGGGGTGTGTTTCATTCAATAAAAGTGGATTGTGCATTGAGGAGAGATAAGACTTTGGGGTTTAGAGCTGAGGGAACACGGCTGCCTTCTGCAGTCTCCTCCATGGAAGTTAACCATGTAAAATAGAATGACAACTTCAGCCTAATCTTTGTGTGCTTTTGTCCAGATGACCTGCAGTGGAACTAGTTTTTAATCCCTTTACACAAAACTTTACTCTTGTAACCAACATATCACAACATAGAACCATCATGGAAACCGACTTAAACTTCAATAGCCACATTGGATCGGTAACAGCAGCTTTTTACCATCTGAAAAATATTGCCAAAATTAAAAGGTTAAAGACTTTTTGCCTGTGCATACAACTGAAGAATTTTATCTTTTTAATGCACCCTTTTATTTATTATTGTAACTCTGTTTTAAATGGTTTTTAATTACTTGTGTGATTTTAATGTTTTAATTTTTTTAATTACCTGTGTTTTTAATTGTATTTTTAATGGTGATTGGTGCCTTGTGTGGTGTGGACTGTGAGGCACCTTTTGTTGCCCTGAGTAGGAAAAGCGCTCTATAAATAAAGATTGATTATCATCATACCGCAAATTGCATTTAAAGTGACATTTGTGTCTTAATTTGTTCATGTTTGAATAGTTTAAAAAGTTTAGTGACTACGTCAGCCATCTTGGTTTGCCTCGGCTGCCGTGAGACACGCATGCCAAGTTCTCATTAAATGATAAACAGCTGAGGCAGCTCAAAAATCGACAGAACACCGGCTCCAGGCCCATTCTCTCGCAGATGTTTCAGAACTGTGTCCCTCACAGCTGTTTAAACATCTGCAATAGAACAGTAATTGTTGTGAACACACCTCTGAGAGCTTCTTCGTTTCCGGCTCTGATCCTCTTCAGGTCCCAGCCGGTCCTCATCGCTGCCACAGCTTCCTCAGACAGGTACGAGGGCAGACTGTTGTGCTCTGGTGGTCTGCAGTGGTAACTCATCTTCGCACTGAACCAGAAACAAACTGCATCAATACAAATCGTAGTAGAGCGCCCTCTATTGGAAGTGCAAGGAAATGCATGGTTTCTGTCGTAGCTGTTTAAGGAGTACATTGTTCTGGGATCAGTGGTAACGTTTGGATCAGAGTTGGATTAGAAGTCTTCAATTAATTCAGACTTGAGTTTTTTTTCCTCATTTCCAAACAGTAACAGTGTGTAGTACAGTTCATTGGCTGTAGTCCACAGTATCCAGCACTGACCCGGTCCAGTCTGAGAGGAACGCCGCTGCCGCCTGCTCTGTGTTGGCCACTCCCCCTTTCTGCAGAAATCCACGTTTTTTGGCGAAAAGCGTCAGGAACTCCAGAGGATTTCTGTAATCTGGGACTGTGTACTGCAGCATCACCTGCAAAAGCAGATTAAGACGACAAGTTAGGCTTTCCTCCTGTGGACTCTCCACCGGTAGGAGGATCAGTGAGGGGCTGGTGCTGCATGGACTGGGTGCAGCTCTGACTGGCACCCTCCCGACACAGAAATGGTTTAAGGGGAAGAAGATGTGTGCTTCTCACCTGCGTCTTGTCGCAGTGACGTAGCAGTGTACTCGCTGCCTGCAGCTCAGAGTCCAGTCCCTCCTCGACTCTCAGAGACCTCAGAGCCAAAGCCGGAGCCGGATTAGAGTCTGAGGCCACGATCCCAGGACTGTCCACCAGGTTTATGCTACGCTGAAGGTGCACCTCTTGCATTGACCTGGGAGGGGGAGGGGCACCACACGTTACACAAGCATTACACTATACACAGTAAATACACACACATTTACTTGAGATGTAAAGTGTTTACTTTGTGTGTGTGATGTAAAGTGTGTATGTGTGATGAAAGGTGTGTACTTTGTGATTCCCCGCTTCACGCCGGCGTTACAGGCCAGAACGCCTTTGATGCTGTTGATGACGCTGCTCTTGCCGACATTGGGAAAACCTAAGGACGTTCATCACAATTAAAACAACTGCGTCTCAATGACAAACACTGCAGACTGCTCACCCACGAGCGCCACCTTCAGCATCCCCTCCCGCTCTGTCGCCGTGTAGAATGTGGACAGAACATCTGACACACACTGGTGACCGAAGCACGCAGCGCTGCGAGATCTGTCCAACAGGCCGTGAGAGGGAGTGACACGAGATCTTTTCTCCTGCTGAAGACACACACACACAAAGAGAGAGATAAGAGATCTCTTCTCCTGACATACACAGATACTAAGTTGGGAGATATCTCTTCTGCTAGAATCTCAAACACACGACAACTAAATCTGTCCACTTTGAGCTGACGAGGCCTTTCTGAAGTGACTTCATATCAATAAACAAGTATCTTTAATAGTTATTTTAAGCAGACGTCTTTGTTCTCTGCTTGTTTTATCTTCCACATCTGCAGAACCCTCTGTGATACTTTATTGATCCCTGTAGGAGAAATTCAAGTGTCCAGTAGCAGCAAAAATAAAAATTATTTATCATTCTAAAAAAGATAATAGAAATCAGCAACAGCCTTTCAGGTCACAGCAGCAGAGATGGAGTAAAATGCTAAATGCTTTATTAGCATTTTTCAAAAGGTTTCATTCCTCCAGTGGATTTTCAGCTGATCAGCTTGATTCAGACTATGAATCCTCTGCTCCAGTCTGGATCAGTGCAAAACTATGCACTGTACAGCGGCAACATCTCAGGTAGAAAAAATAAAAAAATAAAAATAAAACTCGTAAAGCACAAAACTACATAGGAATTGCTGTCATTTTCCAGCGCATTCAAAAGTGAACAAACTGTATGTGATGTTTGAGATCTGAGCCTCTGTAGCTGAGCTTCAAGTCTCACACAGAGACAGTGACTGAAGCCCGGCCTTTACTGTCGGAGGCTATAACCGATTACAGCAGCACAGCACAGCAGTGTAACCTTCTCAGTCCTCCAGAAAACGTTCCTTTTCAGTCCTCCAGAGGATCTGTTATAACACTCACCAGAGTTTTATCCTGAATCTGAGTGGAGGCTTTGAACAACAGAACAGGACACTCCCGCTGCAAACTCTGGAGCCACTTCTCTGCGTTGTCTTTCGGCACTAGATCTGGAAACACAAACACTTTGATAGTAACATCAAAAACCAAATTACACTTAAGTGAACAGGACAGGGGCAGCTCCCATCGCAGCACTGACCAGGCCCTGCTCTGCTACGTTTCAGAGGTATGACAAAATCTGGCTTCACCTGCAGGTGGCGCAAAACTATGGCCCCATTTAGATGGAGACGCTGTAAAGCAATTATCAAAACCAACCAGGCTCCTTATACGAAGTGCACAGCGTTTACACGACAGTGGAAAACTAATTCTAGCGCCCGGACATTAGGGGGTAATGGAACTTTACGACACACGCGACTGCCACCAGTGTAATCACTTCAACATCCTCCTCTGGCCTTCGCAAAGATTGGAAAAGAATGCATCGTCATTATTTAACAGTGGCTACGAAAATGGAAATAAACTACAGCTTTGCATGGCTTTGTTTAGACGGACGAAGGAGTAAAATTCTCTGTAGTGCTTAAAGCATACGTAGATCACGTTGATCCTCCGCCATTGTTGTTTATGTTCGTTCTCAGCTACTGCGCATGTCAAAATGTGCATGCAGGGAAGTGGTGAGGTCATAGCAGGCTGTTTCATAGTAGTGCCTTTACACAACTATGAAACAGTCACTGGCCGAGCAGCATATCTGTTCCACTCAAGTGTTTTTGCCCCCTGAAACCCCATCTTCATATTAACTAAAAGCCAATCCGATACCCAACTCTAACGTTATACTGCAGCTTCCTTGTGAAAACAGCACCTATGTTTTGCTTCCTCTCCAGTTTTTCCATTACACTTTAGTATCTGGTTCCGTATCCTAGCAACTAACCCACAACAAACCAGTATTCAGGGTAATTCCTACGTAACCAAGGCTTCCAGCAACAGAGCCGGTCGAAAGAGGGCTTTCCAAGATAAACTAGTCCATTACAATTTATATTTGTGTGCATGCATTAAACTATTATCGAGTCATAGTGTGTGTAATATATATAATACACAACAAAATCTGATCCCATTTCTATACATTTTTAGCCTGGCTCCAGCCGACCTTTAGCCCCGCCTCCATGGAGTTTCTGCGGGCAGGTCGGTCTGGCATTCCTCAATGGAAAAAGTATTATGGGGGGCGTGTTCGAACTGAAACAGGAAACACAATCCCCCTTCGTTCTATTGGATAGTCCAACAACCAATGAGAGCGAGGTGTGACGTATTTATGCGACATTATTGTTTACCTTCTCGCATGCTGCCTGTAAAATGAGTGCAAACGACTTGTGCCGGTGTTGCAAAAAGAACTTGAAGATACGCGGAATATTTAGCAACACGTTACTAATTTTTGAGAGAAATAAAAAAGGTAAATCCATATACGAACAAGTCCTCCATTTAGGATTACAACTTCACAAGACATCAGAGAAATCTACGCGCATTTGTCGGTCCTGTCACAACCTGATTACAAGACTGGAACGCGACATTCCCGTGTTCAAATCATGGACAAACGAAGAAGGAGAACCGGCTGAAGAAGCATGCTCATCAGAGTCACCATCAGAGAAGAGAGACCGGGAGCTGAGCCCTTCTAAGTCGCCCAGAGCCCTGAAGAAGTTCTGTTCCAATCATTTAACTGCAGCCGGTGCAAAACCGCGAAGAAGCATCACAAAGGTAAGCGCATGTTAAAGAAAAAATTCTACCTATTATTTTATACCCACAATCTCGATTGCCAAGTGTTTCATATATGAAGTCGTGTTTATTTACAATGTGATTAACACATAACCATCACATGAAGCCCGCCCTGTCACTCTGACTGGCCCGGTATGTATCGTACCGGGCATAATGGTTTTTCCATTGAGGAATGCCAGACCGACCTGCCCGCAGAAACTCCATGGAGGCGGGGCTAAAGGTCGGCTGGAGCCAGGCTAATACATTTTACCCATTCACACATCCAACAGTTTGTTCTCTTCAGCTCATTATCTAGTAGATCTTACACTTAGTAATGCAACATTTAGTCCCTTACAGCAATCTTTTTATGCAACAAAATATTCATGTTATAGTAAACCACAATAGATCTTCCCTGCATGTGTTGGGCCAACACAGCCGATCAGTCTATTTAATTTACACATACTGCTCTCAGAAAGCTTCTGAACGACAAAACTATTAAACTGTAGAGCCACATCCCACAGAACAAAATAGCTCTGACCAGTTCCAGATGTTAAAGAAGCTATACCCAAAAAAAAAAAAACGGATTATAATAAAAAAAATATTATAATCCGTAATTTTATTGAAAACTTGGGCTCATTGATTCAGCTTGTGTAATGAATTCAGGTCGTAGAGACTTGGCATGACACTCTCCTCCAATCACATCCTCTAGCGTCTACAGCGCTGGTATTGTTGTAGACACTACCATGCTACTGTGTTACAGTAGCATGTTAGCAGAATTGGCTATAACTCCTCTGGCTGTAACTGCAGCCAGCAAAACAGTCAAAACGACCTAAAGCAAAAAAATGATCAAAAGAAATGAAGCCCGGGTGAACTAGTGGTAATCTTTCAGTTATATTTTGTTAGCAGAGCGTTGCTTTTGTACCATTTCATCAGTGATTGTCGTACAGCTTACAAGAAGTTGAGCTAATGTTAGCATATGTATCGGATCGCAAATAAAACTAGATGGCTCCATGGGATGAAAGCGTAAGGGAAATGAGGGAAATGAGCGAGTTGAGGGGCGGTGCTAAACATTCAAACCTTGCAGAAACGGGTATAGCTCCTTTAACCACTTAACACCCGCCTCATTTTGGCTTGTGCACAAAAGTTGGGCATACCCAAATGTCTTTGCTTATTTAAAAACACATCTTACATGTCACATGCTTGTGTGATTCATCATATTAAAGCTAGAGCCTTCTAGTTTGTGTAAATCTACACTAAAATAATGTTTGTCATTCCTATTTCACAAGTTTGGGGGGAAAAATAATCTATATCTAAAGGCCCTAAAAAAGGCATAGTTCATTGTAAGTTCACAATATTCAAACCCTTTGGTCATTGTGTAAAGTTCCAGACTTTAAGTTTTATAGTTTTTATGCAGTTTCTCCTTTTCATCAAGTAGTGCACATAAAAAGGCTTTACTGACATTTCATCATCATAAAAACCATATTTTTTTTATTATTGGTACTTATAAGTTACTAATCTATGTGATTTATTTTTATAAAATGTAAAAGTTAATTTTGAGTGTAAAATCATTGTGGCTTTCAGAGCGTCTTTTCACTGTCATTGCGCACACTTGTACAGATACAAATTAAGACAGTACACTTTTGTCCCACCCCTTGCTAGAAAGCTTTCCTCATTGGCTACATGGACATGTCAATCTTTCGGCCAGGAAGTACATGCAAAGCAGTCGTATGACAACAAATGTGAAGTGACCCCATGCGCAAAACGCAACCGCTTGTCCAACTCACAGATGTTGCAGACCCAAAATAGCTCGTAGAGCTTCATGGAAGGTGTCATTTTAAAGCTAACGAGTAGGGGAACACGTGGATACCAGTTGTGCTGGTGAAAAATAAAGCTAAAAGTCAGTTAAAAGTGAAAGAGCAGCATCTGTGCTCTTTTTGTGCTAAAGATAAATGCCCTTGCCCTTAAAAAGCACACTTGCCCTAGATTTTGCGCGTGCCCGCGGGAGTGGAAGGGTGTCAATACTTAGGGGGAAGAGGCGAGGGCCTTTACACCCCTAAAAACCACCCTTGAGCGCAAGTGAGGTCCGGTTGCTGAAGTAGCAGTGAGGCAAAGCCGCGCCACAATGAAAGAAAACATGAAACACCCGGGCGCAAGTTTGTGCGGAATGGGAGGAAGTTCCGAAGCGTGTGCGAGTCATACAGATTTTTTAAAGCGTGTGTTGGTGCCGTGTGTGGTGACGTTCGTTCCCGAAGCGGCTGCAGCGTTAGGCTTCAGAGATGTGGAACCATGTTATTATAGATCCATAATGTAGTTCAGAGCATCGCTTTGACACAGTTTGCTTTGTGATCCGCGGCTGTACCCGTCTGTCTCTGCACGTACGTGTATGTACATGCGCCTGTCTGTGCGGTACGTCTCTGTGCATGTATGTACACGCGTCTGTGTGTGTCTGCCTCGGTGTGTACATGTGTATGTGTGCGTGCGTCTGTCTGAGTGAGTGATGTGCGGCAGTTCTGTACCTAATTATAGCAAAACTTCACAGGAAATATAATTTAAAACTTCTCATTTTCATAAATACTGTGTTTCATAAAGTCATACGTGTGTCAGATCTTATCTGTGGTGACTTTGATAATGTGTGTGACGTGGAACATGTCTGCTGCGTCATTTGCATATTGTCCCCTAGATCCAGGGGTGTCCCAATTCTTAGGGAGAATGTTGTGAGTGCACTCACCACTGGGAAGGCACTTTACTGGTGAGGGCACTCACACCTAAGGGCAAGGGTGAGAATTGGGACGGGGCCTAAGTGCTACATCAGGACAGTTATGTGTGAACTGGTGTCGGTGTAAAGTGAAAAACAAACCTATTTTATTCAATAAAAAAATTAGTTTCTTGTTTTTTTGTAGAACCATCTCCTCGAGCTGTGGACAGCGACAGCCCAAAGGGTCACGAGCGTCCAGGACCTCCACCACCACATCACAGCTGTCAATCACCTGTGGAGGAGACACTTGTCAATCACCTGCGGAGGTGGGGTTAATGCAGCAGGGAAACTATACTATAAGTATACAACACACACGTTGATCCCCTGAAGAGTCAGATTATGCCCCACACACAGGGTTATACAAGTGCAGGAACAAAAACAATACCTTATTTATCTGGGAACAAATGTAATGTTTGGAATTCTTCTCTAACGCTTTCTGTTTTCTCTGAACTTCATCCTGAAGAAACATGAAACAACTGTTTAGTACGAGGACGTTCACATATGGCCATAATTTTTCTACTGCATTTACGGCTGGAAATTTTTTTTTATTCCTGGTGGAGGATTTGGAGCTGCACATTATACAATTATTGCAACACCAACAGACAAACCTACCTTTCGAATCTTCTTTGCCTTGGTCTCTTCCTTTGTCTCCCCACAGTCCTTCTCTCGTTGTCGTTTCTGCGCTCTCTCATCTTTTTTAGCCTGTTTTCTTTTCTCTTTCTCTTCTTCAATCTATAAACAAGAAATAGACCTTTATGCATCAATGAAGACGTGTGTGCCTGTAGTCCCTAGTCTGTATCTGTAGTCCCTAGCCTGTGTACCTGTAGTCTCCTCTGCTCAGCTTCTCTCAGCACTTCCTCTCTGAAGGGGGCGCTGCTGGGAACGCCCAGATCCTTCTTCGGCCGCGTGGAGACTCCTTTCTTCTTTGCTTCTTTCCGCAGTTTCCTGTTGTGTTCTCGAACCTGAGCATAAACAGATCATTCTTCTACTGCTGTCGGCAAAATTATTACATTTAAATCCATATTCTTCAAACCTCTGCAGACTTCTGCCCAGGACAATAAAAAATAGATTCTCAGCAAGGAGTTTGAGACAATAAGAAATTAACACATCTGGATTCTGTCATGTCCTTAGCCAAGACACTTTACCCACATTAGAACCGTGGTTGCCTCTGCCAGTGTGCCCCAGTGGCTATAGCAGAGATTAGGACTCTCGAGTCCAACTTAATTGCTAACTTGTGAACATTTTGAGTCCTACTAATGCTTCAGATCTTTTCAGAGCTGTGGCGCAAGGAGAGATGACTGGGGAAAGTGCGCATGGGGAAGGTGACGTCAGGTGCAGTCTAATTTCAGGCTGGAAAAATATTTCCAATTAACATTTTTTAGTCCTTTTTTATTGTATTGACCATAATTTGAATGCGTAGGAGATGAGACTTGGACTTTACTAGGACTTGCGGGTCAGACTTGTGTGCATCTCTGGGCTACAGTAGTGGTGTATCACCACTGCGTATAAAGTGCATGGATAATGCTCTGAGATGTCCAAATGTCTGATAAAGCGATGTATAAAACAGATGCATAATTTTTTGTATTGTGTCGGGTAGGGATGTAAATCGGTGACCGGTTAACCGGTGGTTGACCGTCACAGCGTTAACCGGTCAAAGCTGTCGGTTAAAAATAAGAAAAAGCGGAGAGGGGAGGTCTCTTCATAACGCTATTTTAAGCCCTATTTGCACGATGTGACGAGCGGGTCCCTATCTAGCTGTGTGCGCCAATGCATTAGTAGACTACGGGCGACTTTCATGGCGCACGCTCCACATATGCACGCAGCCACACGCGCGCGCACACACACACACACACACACACACACAAACACTTTCCCCCCCTCCATACGTAACATCCACACGCATCATCTCTCCCCTCTGTTACCGCCAAAGTTCCACACTAGTGCAGGTCAGAACTACATTGGAGCTTATATTTATACACACACACATACATGTATTGTACACACACACACACACACACACACATACACACATACATACACACATGTATTGTACACACACACATACCGGGCTGTCGCGCTCCTCTGTGTCTCGCAGCCCAAAGAATCCTCGCAAATACGCGGCTTCAGTCAAACACATGAAACATGTTTGTGCTGCTGGTCCTTGTCATTAGATCAGATCCACACACATCACTTTTAAACTTTAGCGGAGACCTGCGAGACGCGGCTCGTCACTCGCTGCTCTGACCATGTGGACGAGCTGTCTTTTGCTTAAAAATGCTTTACCCGCAGCACAGAAGAATGGGAAGATTAAAAAAGCAGTTCTCTGTGCACAAAGGTGCCGAAGCTGTTGCGGGTTTTGGCGCTGCTGTCTCAGCTCTGATCTAGTAGAACGCATAGATAAACTTATGAAAAGTACGCGGCTCGAAATGGCTGCTATTTCAAAGAACGTGGAATATTTTTAACTACGCGGTTAACCGGTTTCAACCGGTTAATGAGGCTCGGTGGTCGGTCATGAAAATGCATAGTTTTTTACATCCCTAGTGTCGGGGTTCCTAACTTTAAAATATTTATCCAGTAGAAAGCCACTGAAAGATGCTCAGTCCTGTACTGTTGCAATGTGCTACATAAACAAATAACGGAGTCTGGATCTGTGAGTAAAAATGGGTGAGCATTGAGCAACCTTCCTTTGTTTGAATAATCCCTGTACGACTGCGCCCTTACAAACTTACTTTCACGATATTACCAAAAATAATTAATCGCCCACCCTTACTTTTCTTCCTCAAACATCACACGCTTCTTCCAACATTCTTGTAAAAGTATAAAATGAACTAGTAAGACCACAACATGCATCTTTGTCCACCTAGAAAACATGCATTGTTTGCAGAAAGTCCTGTGAGTCACCCTTTGAGCTTTACGCTGTTTATGCCGTTACTTACGGTGAAAGTGGAAAGGGAAGCCACATTTTTAAATCTAAAAGATTTGTGACTACTTTCTTGCCAGTTTTTGCCAGCTGTGCTTAAGGGTTTCCAGTCTAAGGAGGGGTGCTTAAGATTGGGTACTCGGCTCCAACCGGTGCATAGGTCTAACACAGACCAGGCTGGAGATTGAGGTGCTGTCCCCATCACACCCCAGCTCCAGCAATTCCCAGGGGGTTTCCCATCAGAGTAGTACTAACCAGACCTGTCCTTGTACAGGCTTTCTCAAAGTGGTATGGCCGTAAGTTAAGCACAGGGGTGAGGAGCAGTGCGCCTCTTTATCTTGTGGGTGCTGGTGGTAGTAGGCACAGGGCCATGGTTCCTTCTACAGAGCAGAAGGGCTCAGGCCTGGGTCACAGCACAGTCTTCCCTGTGAACCATTGCTTCATGCAGCCCCAGATTGAGTGACCTGCTCAGCCCTCGGGGCATTTATAATAAGTTTCCAGGGTAAAAATGAATGTTACTTTACACAGGAGTCGAGGACATCGCAATGCACAAGTGTGCTGTGAAAGTACTCACAACTTTTATAAATCCATTTTAAATGGTGCATTTCCGCCGTTCCACTTAAACCGTAAGTAACAGCAACAAGAACCACCCACTAATAATGTGCGAACCTCTTTACTGTGGACTGTGAAAAGCCAGGCCACTTTACTGCGGTGCTGGGGAGAAAGACTTCCAACAACTATAATAATGAAATTCTTTACCTTTTTCTGGATCTTATAGCGCGTTGAGCATGACACCCGCTTACTCGCTTTCTTTAACTCTGAAACAAACACAGAACGCATTAAACCAGTGGTTTCGCACCATGCTATTGCTATGCTAACACAAGATCCACCGCTGAGACGTGTACAGCGATAACAACACATCTCCTTTATATTTCATGTATACAGTATTTCTAAGAGCACAGTCACTTGAACTTCTGCATATAAGTTTAAAGATAGTTACTCACTGGGACGCTTCATTCTGAGTCCGTGGCTCTTAACGTGGGTCTGTTCACTGACACACGTGGATCACAGAATGAACGAGGTCTGAGAGAAGGAGAAATGATGCAGCAGCGCTCCCTGAAGGACCGGAGAGAAAGTTTCTGCCGGGACTGGAGCATTGACCCCCATGACATGGCCTCTTCTCTACTGGTCCCTAAACATGAGTATGCAGTGTTTCAGATTTGCAGCTAAAATCTGGAACAGTCTTCCTGAAAATGTGAGAAAGACTTCTCTGACAATGTTCCAGATTAAAACCGTTCTGATTCGCTGCTACAATTGAAGGGATTGTGACTCCACTCTTTTAATGCGCTGTGATTATTTATATTTTTTAATGGTTAATAGTTGGCTGTGAGTAGGTTGCCAGGATGCGGGACAAGATAATACATTATTATTACGGACAAGAAGGTGTTCTTCTTTTTTTCAGACACTGAGATTACGTTAATAATATTTTGATTTAAATGTCGAAATATTATGAGAATAAAGTCGATGTCAAGGAAAATAGATAGAGATTACTGTCATATTATCTCGAGTTATCTATAATTATATTATGACTTTATTATCGTAATTGTTTCACTTTTTTAGATTATTCCTACTTTGAAGTCAAAATATTAAGAGTTTAATCGACAAAATGTGCCGTAAAATCCCCGTTCGTTTGAAGCATTAATTAAAGATAGAAACCATAATTTGTAACCGCTGTCACGTGACTCGTGCCGAGCATCTTGGCCTCTCTGAACACAGCGGAAGAGACTCCATCAAACATGACCAAACTACAGTTTTTAAACGTCTTTTTGACAGAGCGCCTGATGCTCGCAGCTCAGGAGATTTACAAGTCGGTGGAGGACACTATCCTGGAGTACCAGGAGGAGATCGCCATCCGGGAGAGAGAGAACGACCATCTGAGGCGCAGGCTTCGGGACGCGGGCATCGAGATATGGCCAGGTGCTAGTGCTAACATGCTAACGCAGCTAATGCTAACATGCTAACGGACTCCTGTTACATTCTCTATTTTGTTCAAGTGGTTTGTGACACATTAACGTCGTACGGTGAGATTTAAAGGGATCCTCACATCGCGCACACTAATCATGGTTTAATATTGTGCAAAATCTCATGCATAATATTATGTTGGCTTCTGAAGTTACTAGCTAGTTAGCAACCTTTGTTCATGAGCTAATTAGCATTTCATAACTTGTGCTAGCAGCTCTGTGGGAGTCGGTGCTAAGATAAAAGTAGTTGCGTGGAAAATTCTGCTATTGCAAGACGTATAAGTGGTTTCTACTTACATTAAAGTCATGGTATTTCGTACGTTTTGATATATCTCAAGGCACAGCTAGGCCCCAGACAACCACAACAAATATGCTAACAGCTACATTTGAAGAATGTAGATTTTTCTATAATCGCTGTGATTATTGTTCCCCATGTATTGTTATAAAACACGGGTGTATGCAATTTACAAGACTTGTGTTTACTAGAGTCATTCCAATATACAATATGTATTAGATGCTCATTCACACTTAAGATTGTCTGATATAGTACATGCATGAGGTACGAGTTCTTTATTCAAACCCATAGAAAAATTAGGTGAGGCAAGTTTTTATTTGTTTAGCACTAATCGTACACAAATGAAAGTACAAAACAAATGCATTTAAAATCCTCCAGCTCAATGCTCAGATAAATTGAATTGTTTCCAGAATAGAGGTGCAACGGTTCATCACTGATCCGTGATCCGTTCGGTTCGACGTCTTCGGTTCGGTACAGACGTGATCCGCGGTTTGATTTATGAAAAAAAAGTTGTGCGCACGTTGTTCAGTCCACACACAGCGCGGTCATTGCGAGCGGAGGAACGGAGGAGCTTGAAAGCCCTGCGTCATTTAAATCCCCAGTATGAGAGCATTTTGGCTTCACTGTAACTACACTGATAATTAATATTCGACAAAACTGTCACGATGTGTAAGCACTGTGGACCAAGAAAGACATGAGTGAAAAAAGCGTCTCAACGACCGCTTATTGTCGCGGCATTTAAGCAGCTCCTTTACGCACAGTCAGACCGGGCTAAAGTCAACTCTCCCGCGCATCACAGCTGCGCTCACGACTGACGCTCGGACGTCCCGCGGAACTTATAATAGATCCATGAGCGGAACCGCTCACTTCATCACCGCAGACTGGGAGATGAGAAGTCTGGCGCTGCAGACACGCCCCCTCTACGACAGTCACACTGTCACACAGCGCAGGTACTGACACAAGCAGCGGAGGAATGGAAGACAAAGGACCAGTACTAATATCCCAGTCACAACTGATAATGCCAAAAATTAAATAAATGCAGTGAATGAGGCTGGGCCCAGAATGGAGCGCCTCCTCGGGAGAATCAGGAAGGTGGTTTAATATATGAGGGTAAATATCCTCATAAAGTGCCTTCTTATGTTGCACTTTGTGTTGTTTTTCATTAATTATGTTAAATAGACATAATTGGATGGATGGAATATGCCTTCCATCCAGCCATCCATTTCCTTCCCCTTAATTCATTTCTAGGTCAGGGGGGCAGTCAGAGCAGGTGCCGAGTCCACATGAGCTGTGTTTATTAAAAAGACAAAACTTTTTTTTTGAAAAATGAACCGAAAAATGAACCGAACCGTGGCCTCTGAACCGAGGTACGAACCGAACCGTGATTTTTTCAAACCGTTGCACCCCTATTCCAGAATAGAAGCCTATGTCTCATTTTTGGATAGTTTTCGGTTCTTATTTGTAAAGCACAGTTCATACATGATTCATGGAAACTCAAAGTGCTAAAAAACAAAAACATTAAAATCATTAAAGATCATAGCACAATGTGCTAAAATCTTTTGTATGCAGAGCATAAAATACTTCTTTATTTCAGCTGAATAACTGTCACTAATACACATTGTTTTACATATGACTCTCATAAAGAATCAACATTTAGATAAAATATAACAATAATTGTACATTTCTAATGTCCTCAGAGTGAGAATATGTTTTTTAAAAGTATTATGCCAGTAATTCTTTTGTTATCAAAAGAAATCCGAAATGGGGTTCCATTCACTTCCAAACACATATAATAACAAACACACAGAGCTATTGGTCCATAGGGAGTGGGATGGCCACTTTGCAGAAATGTCCTGGATCATCACTGTCTTGAGACCCTCTGCATCATAGAAGAACCGCTCTAAACTTTACTTTTAGTATTTTCTCCGAGCTCTCAGCCCTAATATAATTCCTGCTACTTTCTTGCGTCTGCAGACCGGCCGTCCATGGCTCTGCTGGAGGACGACGACAGCGAACACCCGCGGCGCGAGTGGAGCCCGAGCATGGGCCACGAGGAGCGCATTCCTGTGCAGATCAAGGATAAACGGGAACATCGTCCAAACACCGAGCAACCGCACAGTCATACACACAACTCACACAACCAGCACTCTTCTCACTCCTCACACTCCTCACACACCTCCCACTCCTCCTCTGAGAACCTGTACCCCTCGCAGCGCGCAGACTACCCCCAAGAGGCGCCGCACTCCTCGAGCCTGCAGCAGGGCGTGGAGAACCGTGAGCACGAGGCACCGAGCCGGAACCCTGTGCGGAAACTGGAGCCCAACACGAATGCTGCGCCGCAGCCTCTGGCTCCTGTCAACAACAACTGCTCCAATAGCGACAACATCGACATCATTGGGGAGAGCGTCGTGATGAAGGGCGGCGCCAGAGCACAGTCCTCGCACATGCGCAGCACAGCGGCCAGCACCAACACAGACTGCCCGCATCAGAAGTCTCCCATCCAGCCGCACATGTCGTCCTTCTGCTGTAAAGTGTGCGGTGAGGCCTTCAGCCACATGGGCCACCTCCACGTGCACGTGCAGGTGCACACACGCGAGAAGCCGTACCGCTGTGGCGTCTGTGGCAAGTGCTGCAGCTCTAGCGGGCGGCTGCAGGAGCACCAGCGCAGCCACACGGGGGAGAAGCCATTCCGCTGCCAGATCTGCGGCAAAGGCTTCACGCAGATGGCTCACCTCAAAGTGCACATGCGCATCCACACAGGAGAGAAGCCCTACAGCTGCCCTGTCTGTGGCAAGTGCTTCAGCCGTTCGGACAAAATCAAGCGCCACCTGCAGACACACAACCGCGACGGCCAGTACTTCTCAGGGCAATAAGGATTTAAGGACGCTAGCTTTACTCGCTGCTCTCACTGCTCTCAGCTTAAAGCCACCGCAGACAGAGACGATACGGAAGACAGTTGGTGCTAGTTTCTAATATTCTCTAGTTAATCCTTTAGGCGCCAAAGATTTTTACCCCGAGAACTTAATTATAAACTAAAATCATCAATTTTCTTCCATTTTATTCATTGCCGAATCGCAAGAGCAGCAGTCAAAGCAGAGCAGTGGACTCAGATACTTTTAACTGCGAGGGCAGCACTGATGATTTATCAGTTTTATACGTCACTTAAACTCATACAGTTTTAATGTGACATGGCTTTCTATCACGAACCCCAGAGGACTCTGGATGTGCTGATGCTGGTCCTGGTTTGTTGAAAGCATAGTCAATAACTAAAAACGCTGCAAGAAACTTGTAGTGAGTGTCTGTGTGAAGCCAAGTCACTGTAGAAAGTCTCCGGGATGCAGAGCTCGTGTCTTTGGCGCCTAAAAGGTTAAGTGCAGTGTTTGCTTTTGGCTCCTGTGGAAAAGATTAGTTTGACTATGGTTTGTTCAATGTTCGCTGCAACATTATAAACCTTTCCTTAAAGAAACAAACAAACTGCACCAAAGAAAGATTTTGTTCAAAGTCAAGGTGTTTTGTCGAGAACAAGAAAAGAAATAATGAAAAGTTGTGGAACATAAACGGTATGAAGTATGAAGAGAGGGAGGTGACATGGCACATTTTCTCACTGCAGGTTCAAAAGGGAAGTTCCTTTTTAATAGTTTTGTCTGAAAAGTTTAAAAACGATGTCTCATTTAATACAATACTGAAACTCGATGGGTTTGAATATACAGATGAAAAAACACAATGCAAGACATTTGACACGAGACAGAACAGAAATATGAAAAGAGTTTACTCCATAAACTGTACACAGATGCACAATGCTAACCCAATAGCTAGGCCTAATAGGAAAGTGCTCATGGACAAAGTATAACTTACTCAGGCTCCTATTGACCCATAATATAAAAGTTAACTCCTCTAGCTCAATAATGTTTGTGTCATGATCATAATTTTGGGCTTAAATCTGTGGTTTTTCAATGATCCTGGTGTTTATATCGTTTAACCTGTTAGCTAGCTCTAATCTCCGGTTAACACCATGTTGATATCTTGCGTACAGTCTATGGTTTACTCTCAGATTATCTGTGTCCGGAGCAGAAGGCGGCTCTGTTCTTTGTGCTTTATGAGAAGGTAACCAAAGCGTGGGTTTTAGGATTTTAGAGAATAAACTGAGTCAGTCTATGTCTAACCTGAAAGATCATATGTAGATTGTCTTCTGGTGATAAACGTCTAAATTTAAATGAATCAGGGACTTAAACGTCTTAACATCTGAAACTGGAAGTATAGGTTCTAAACTTTTCAATGTCAAAACATGCATACATTAAATACTACTCAATAGCCCTGACTCTGCTCTGCTCTACTCTACTCTGTTGTGATTCCATTACACTCAAGTATCTGGTACTGTATCCTAGCAACCTACCCACAACAAACAATTATCCAAGGAAATTCCTTGGTAACTCTGGCTTCCAGCAGCACTCTGGCCAATCAATGTCAGAACACTTCAGTACCAACTCGGCCTGGGTAGAACCAGGACCATGAGGGACTAAAGAAGGACATGGTACTGGTAACGCAGGAGTCGAGTCATGGAAATGGGGCTAAAATATTGTATTAAATGGAAAAGTTAAATTTCCTGCAGTAAGTGAATCTTCGAATCTCTTCTGACATGATTTTAAAGTTATAAATTACTTGTGCCCCTGTCCAAGGCTTCAGTAAATCACATTATTGCCAATTTCTTTTGTTTATATTTTTGTATTAGTGGCACAGTTGAAAACGTAGTCTTCCATGCTCCTTTGATGATGGATCCAACAGTGTTTAGCAGCACATTGTGTATATCTGCATTTCTATATATTTTTTTATTTTAGACTCATTTTTAGATTCGTTAGATGATATTTGCATGGTTAAGTGTATAATTGATGGAAGGATGAAGTTGCCAGTCTCTAGAATAACCTGCTAATATTTTGTTACAAGACGTTCTGGCACTGGTCACAAATGTATTATATTTTTAGATTTAATGTAACATTGTCTTCTTTCAATAAAGAGTGTATGTCAAGCCTCCTGTTTATTTGATCCATAAACGTTAAGAATTCCAAACTTTCCAAATTGCAGTCATAATGCTTCACTTCATACTGTAGCCACAGCTGCCCTGGGGCACACTAATGAAAGCAATGCCACCAGCTTGCCCACTCCAACCCCCACCACCACTAATCATTCTCACACACACACACACACCAGACTCTAATGTGGGTGAAGTGTCTTGCTTTAGGACACAACTTTGAAATCTTGAAAACGCAGTAAAGGACCAGAACTGTTTATTTCTCCTGTTGTGAACGTGAACAAATGTCACGGATTAATAACGTTAATTAGGTTAGGATCAATTAATATTTACAGTCTATGGTTAGGATGAGGGTCTGCTGCCCCCTGTTGGAGAGAAAGAATCTGTGCCACATGCGCCACACGGGGGCAGCGTGAGAGAAGAGGCTGAGGAGAAAGGCTTAGAAGATTGAGGAGAAAGGTTAGGAGATGGGTAGAGCCCTAACCCACTTCCATGTCTCACAGTAATGAGGCTAATGAAGTCTGTTTGATCTTCTGTCCAAACGCATCACATTCCTACAGGATTAAACAGTGGCGTCTGACTTCAAAGAAACCAAACCAAAATCAACTTTTGTCACTGAGCGGGAAACACGCATCTCTTACTGATGTCGGGGAAATGCATTGGAATTAGGGTGGCCATAGACTTTATATGAGGAGAGGACCACAGCCTCAGTCCTGGGTCTTCTTCAAGTTCGGTAAAGTTAGCTTGATATTCACAGATTCGGACTTCCGCGGTGAATATCTTACGAAAGCTACGTTGTTAAACGAAAGTAATTGTGCCAAAATGATCACCTCTACATGGGCTAACTACTACAACATCGATTTTTCTAATCCAATGCGCTGTTTTAATGCAGAGAAATCCATTGAATCCAATGCGCCGCAAGTGCCGAGAAAGCACTTAGGGAGCGTCAACAAATGCCAATACCAGCTCTGTAAACGAACAATAGTTTTTATTTTAAGCCAAGTACACGCACTAAACTCTCAAATACTATAAATAGCTACCATATCTAACTACTACAACCTTTGTTTTCAGCATTTGTTTCTTTTTTGTATTTTTTATGAATAAATAGGATTTAATATTAATATGAATTTCGAATAACTTTTTTTCAAAAAGGGGCGTGGTCACCAAATTCTCAGGTATGATCAATAACTGCCATATCTAACTACTACAACTTTTGTTTTCAGCAGAAATATCTTTTTTATATTTTTTATGATTAAATATGAATATGAATTTCGAATAACTTTTTTTCAAAGAGGGGCGTGGTCACCAAATTCTCAGGTATGATCAATAACTGCCATATCTAACTACTACAACTTTTGTTTTCTGCAGAAATATCTCGAAATATTTTTTATGATAAAATATGAATATGAATTTTGAATAACTTTTTTTCAAAAAGGGGCGTGGTCACCAAATTCTCAGGTATAATCAATAACTGCCATATCTAACTACTACAACTTTTGTTTTCAGCAGAAATATCTTTTTTATATTTTTTATGATTAAATATGAATATGAATTTCGAATAACTTTTTTTCAAAAAGGGGCGTGGTCACCAAATTCTCAGGTATCATCAATAACTGCCATATCTAACTACTACAACTTTTGTTTTCAGCAGAAATATCTTTTTTATATTTTTTATGATAAAATATGAATATGAATTTCAAATAACTTTTTTTCAAAAAGGGGCGTGGTCACCAAATTCTCAGGTATCATCAATAACTGCCATATCTAACTACTACAACTTTTGTTTTCAGCAGAAATATCTTGAAATATATTGATCATACCTGAGAATTTGGTGACCACGCCCCTCTTTGAAAAAAAGTTATTCAAAATTCATATTCATATTTAATCATAAAAAATATAAAAAAGATATTTCTCTGGTCTCTCTCTGGTTAAATAAAGGTCAATAATAAAGTTGATGGACTTATCTATCTTATGGTTTATCTACAGCACTAACTCTTAGACACATGTTTTGTAAATGCAACTTGGATACAATTTTGTAGTTTGACCCAGTGGTGGTGGAGGCTGGCTTTGCCCGGGCAGTTTTCTTTCAAGCAATCTTTAAGCAAGCAAGCAAGGTGCCGGCTTTCTGGCCACGTGCCTCCACAGCGATTTTTGCTTGAGCAATGCAACACAGTCTAAACAGTGCAAAAAGTCACTGGATTTAACTGGAGAATCCGGCTATTTATCAGGGACTAAAGTGCCAATACCATTTTAATCGAGTTTAAGGTTCTTTTAATGGTTTTTAAATGTCTTAATGGTCTTGGGCCTTCTCATCTTTCAGATTTGATTCTATCCTATGAGCCTTCCCGGCCCCTGTGCTCCTCCGGCAGCAGACTCCTAACCATCCCCAAAGTCAGGACACACACTCACGGTGAGGCATCTTTCCAGCACTACGGCCCCCGTCTCTGGAACAGTCTGCCGGAGGAGCCCAGGGCCACAGAGAACGTTCATATTTTTAAAAGTAGGCTCAAGACACACCTTTTAGATTAGCTTTTCATTAGTTTTTATTATTCCATTCTATTTATCTTTTATTATTTATTATTTATTATATTGCTATTGCTATTATTCATGATTGTGTGTTAGTTCCTTTTAGTCTCACATTTTAGTGTTTTACTTATTGTATTGTTTTTAGTCTACCCAGTCTTTCCTCTGGAGGAGCCCTCTGCACTGGGAGCAGTGGTTGGTGTGGCTGCGGGGGTCGGACTCTTGGACCTGGTGGGGGCCTGGGGCCTCGGTTTCGTGTCTCCTCTGGGTCTTGTGTTGTCCCCTGTGGCTACAGGCGGCTCTCTGCTCCTGGTGCAGACGGCT